CCTTGGAAGTAGGAAATGCGTGTTTATGTTGCCCAGCGTAAAATATCCCGCTAAATAGGTTGAATTTATTAGGAACCACAGCAAAGCTCAGCAGCACAAACATAAAAAATACGTCTATGCTGAGTGGTAGGACTGCATTTTAAATAAACAGATTAAAAAAAAAAAAAGAAAAAAACTATTTTGAAGAAGGGATAGGGTGAAGATGCCAGCAGTCAGAGACGCTATATTCTCCAAAGCTCTTGGGGTTTTTTGGTAGTATAAATACAATAGTAGCCAGATTTACAAGGTATTTTTAATTGCTTTTCTTTTCTATACGCTTTGAACTGCCTGCATGAAATAATGGAGCTGCCTCCTAGAAAGGAATGCCTTTACCTTTAGCTGTGTGTCGCCCTGTGGGATTTTAGATAGTACTTCCCACTTGATGCTCTTTGCCCTCATCACCATTCATCTTATTACTACAGTCAGTTTCTGCGGACTACCAAGATAATAGCACCTTCCCAAACACATGCACTCATTACAAATAGTCATCTTTTAATGTGAATTCTCTTTGTTAAAAATGTCAATGTTGTTCGTGAGGTTTGGTAGAATATTCCTTTTTAAAATAGTGTAGAAGATTTTGATGCGTATCTTGTAGGTAGGGGATATGACTGCTGTTAACAATTTGTTGAAAGTGTAACAGTCGACACTTTGATCATATTGGAGGAGAGTAGAGGAAATAAAGTGTTCTGAAGGATTTTTTTCGGTCCTTTTAAATATAGTGGTGCTCTCTTTGTTTCTAATTGGAATGTCACTGTAAGGTACATCATTTGTTCTCACTTCAGGTGCAGAGAAAGGATAAGCTCTGTTCAGCGAGATTTCCAGATTATAAAGTGGACATGCTAATAATAGGATATACTGTGGCATTTCTGTGTATTACAGTTTACATGGTTGGGTTACTTTTCTACACATAGTTTTTTTTCACTACCCAAGTCATTAAATATGTATTCCTGAGTGATTTTTCAAACTGTTTTATAGGAAGGTTTTGTTTGTGGAAATGGCTTTAAGTGGCTTTAAATGAATTCACTGTAAGCTAACAGTAATTCTATTACGTGAAAGAATATTCTTTCTTTAAAAATAAAGAATATGTACTTTTGTATTTATGAATATTAAAAAATTAGACCCATAAACTATCTATACTATGTTCAGAAATATTTATTTCTCCCTTCCTGGACATCTTACAGTAGGTTTAAAAAGAGTTTTTGTTTTGTTTTTTGTATATACCTTAAAACATGTAATGTAAATGAATTTAAAAAGTAAGCCTTTTTTAGTATATACATTGAAAGATATAACTTGATACGAAGAAGCCCAAATTTCAGGAATAAGAGTTTAAAATTATTAAAGGATTGTCAAATTGAGTTTGCTGTACATACAGTTCACAGTTTCCAATACAAAAATTTGTGTTTCTTCAATAAGAGGAAAAAATTAAAGTTTTTGGTGTGTGTGTGTGTGTGTGTATATATATATACATATATATATATAGTTTCCAGCGTTTAGAAATCAAGCCAGCATTTTTAGCATATCAAAAACATCCATTGAAATTAGTATTAATTATACATAAGCAAATCCTACAGAATTATCTGGTTTTGAATTCTCTCCCCAGACAAAACTAGTCCAGACTATTCACTGAAATAAAACTTGAAAATAATATAAAAGTGAGGCCACTGTGATTTAGTATAAGTTTGAATGCTAGAATGTTTAATGCAGATGGATTTAGTGTTTGAAAAAACAAACTGTTTATGTATTTACTAAAAAGTAGGATAAGTTAATGAAAATTTGTAACATGCTATAAACCTACTCTACAGAAAATTCCATGAACAAAATCTTTCATATATAGGAGTTAATTTTGGAAATTCTTAGTTCTTTACCTTGGTTCGGAGAAAAGATGTTTTTAAACTGAATCTGCTTTATAAATGAGGTCCTGAAAAGTAGCAGAAGAAATTTTCTCCCAAATAAAGTGGTCATTTTGGAATTATGTTATAAATTCTGAACTAATAGAAATTGGACTAATACCTTTTTTTTTTTACTAAGTCAGTTTTTTCTGTCATTGCATGGAAAGTATTTTTCTGCTTTAGAAAACAGTCCAGTTAACGTCTGGTTGTCCTGTGTTTTGAGGACTTATCTTGAGCAATTTAAGAAAAAAGTGTCTTAAGTTAAAGTGTCTCATATTTTGAGCTGGTAGAATTGGAAAAGGTATAATAAAAGTGGCATATTCAAATTTGAGTGAAAAATTCTGATTGATTTAATCCCTTGCTGACTGAGGATATTGGTTCCTCAGAGAATCACTTAAATTTTCTTATATGTGAGTGAAGGAATTATTTTAAAAACAGGAACAAAACAACCTTCTTTAACTTATTTTCTCAATGTCTTGAACATTGTTTTGACATAACAATGTATTGAACAATATCATTTGTACAAGAAATGGTTAATTTTTTCTTATATAACAACATTTTGATAACTTGTATTAATGCAGGTAAGCAAAGTTATGAGTAACTAAAATATAGGACAATTTTTTGCTTAGTTTGAACATGCGTGTGACTGCTCTAGGAATTCATTTAAAATAAAATTTTGGGGCTTCATTGTGAGAACCTGGCTCAGGTGGACTTGGGAGCTGGTTCAGTTTCCACATCCCAACTCTTTCTTAGTTGCTTCATGTAACTCTCTTCATGCTGAGTTTAGATGCTCTCTCAGTTTTCTCTGCGCTAGGTTAAACAGAATTACCCTTTCAAAGAGCTTCCCTGCTGAGATGCAGAAGAGGAGTGAATAGAAGAGTGTGAGATGTCCACAAAGCAAGTAATTAAATAAACTATAGAGGGGAGCAGACTATAGAGGGAGCTGCTTGTCTTTAAGATTACTGTGAGGGAATCTGCCAGTCCCTTCTCTAACTCTTCCTCCAGCTCAGTGAATATTTTAGTGAACTGTTCATGACGCTATCAAACATGAAATCAAGTTTTCCACATAAGAAATTGATAATTCTAAAATTATATGTACATTTTATTACTTATTTGAATTGTAAATGTATGTCTTCTTATACTTTGTATTTTTATAAGTTAACTGTGATGAATTACCAGAATAACTTTTTTTGTAAACTAGTGGATTATTAAGGTTGAAATGAGTACAGTTTTGAAAACTATAGTATATATTGACAACTGAGATTACAGATAATTTTCTAGTAAAAGTCTTGTTTGCTTGTAGCCATTTTTGTTAAACCATGTAAAAATATTTCAGGATCATGTAATGCATCATTATTGAGAGAAGATTTTCAGGAGCTTTACTGAGATTTAGTGACTCTCATCACAAACAAAATTGGTAATTTTATTTAGTAGATATTTGAAGCCCTGAGTAGTAAAATTATATTATCTTTTTGCATTATATTTGGTTAAAATCACAGCCAGGAATTCTCTTAAATCTTTGGGTGCAGTGGAATCTAGTGATACGTGATTCAATTCATTCAGTATTCAGTGAATACTTAGTTGAGAACCTACTGTGTATATCAAGTTATTTTTTTAGGTGCTGTTGTTAAGAACAACTTTTACCCTCCAGAAGCTCACAGTGTAGTAGAGATGATAGACATGTAAACATAAGACAAGTGTGGTATGATTAGACTATAGTAGAAACGTGTGTAAGACATAGAGAGGATTCAAAGGAAGGCATGTTTAATGACCACCTGGTGGGCGAAAAGGGAGTCAGGGAAGGCTTCATGAAGGAAGTATGGATTAAGGCATTTTTAAAGAATTAAAAAATTCTGATGTAGGAATAGATACAAGGTAATTCACAAATGAAGAAAAAAACTGCTCTCTGCGGGGCAGCTTGGCAGTGCATATCAGAATCTTTGAAATGTTCTTTTTTGACCCAGTAATTCCAATTTTAGAGATTTTAATCTATGAACGTAAATCTTTTGGTGAATCTATTTATCTTTTGAATCCATCTAAGTACTTTCATTATTCATCACCACCCTAGTCAAAGCTACTAGCATTTTTGGACTGGTTTACTACAATAGCCTCCTAATCTTGGCCTATCCCAATCTTCTCTGCCCCCTTCTAATCTGTTTTCTACACTGTAATCAGAGGGATCTTTTCAACATGCAAACCTGATTATATCACCCTACTACTTGATATGCTTCAGTAGCTTTCCATTGCGTTTAGGAGAGGATGAAACTACATGTCTTACATGGTGGCGTCTACATGTCTTACAAGGTCTTGTATAGTCTGGCCCTACCTTTCTGTCCAGTCATGGCTTGAGCCGTGTTCTTCTTCACTTGCTCTTTGTGTTCCAGCCATATTGGCGTATTTCAGTCCCTTATTCTTGCCATGCTCCCTCCCACAGTGAGATGTTCCTTCTGCCTACAATGTGTAGGTGCTGTCCCCTCTGCCTACAGTGCCTTTCCTTTTTCACCTAACCTCCGATTTATCCTTCCTCAGGGAAGCCTTCCCTGTCATAGACTCAAAGTTCCATGAACTTTGCATAGCACTTGCTATAGTTGTGATTTTATATATGTTGGAGATTAATATCTGTTTCTCCTAGTAGATTGTAACCTCCATAAATGTCTGTAATGTGTTCATTTTTGCTCACTATTAGAGAATTAGTGCTTAGCGCAGTACTTGAAACTCAAACATCTATTGCAAGAATTAATGAATAGAGGATAATCATCACAAAGAACAACCCCAAATGTCTAACAATTGCTAAATGATTATATAAATGGGATATACTCATAGAATATTATGTATCATTAAAATCATATTTTAGCAGAATATATAATAATAGAATATGCTGTCAGAATATTATATGAAAAAATCGATTTACAGAATAGCGACTTATTAACAATGCAGAAAAACTGTAAAGATACACACCAAAAAATAAAGTTTAGTTCTCGCTAGGAGTTGTATTTTGTATCTTTCAGATTTTCTACAGAGAACATGAAAGCTTTTATAACTTAAAAAAAAAAAAAAACTATCCATGTAAAAAATTAAGGAAAGACTGACTTTCCAGATATGTTTCAGAAGTATGGTAAAAAAGACATGAGTTTCAATAATGGGCTCCAAAATAAAACCCAGAATGCGTAATTATATGGTGATAATATAGTACTTGATTGTATAAATTCAGTTGGGGAGTTATAAAAATAATTCTTATATTAAAACAAGCTGGTAATTTCTGAGGTTTTTAAAATACCCATTTATATGAAAACTGATTTAATTTTAAAATGTTTTGAAAAGTAATGTGGTTTTGACACATGACAACAATGAAATAGAATAGAGTCCAGAAATTAACTCAGATATGTAAGAGAACTTAGTAAATGATAATGAATGCTGCCTTTGCCTATCAGTAGGAAAAGAAAATTAAAAGTAGTGTTGGGATAGCCGGTTGGTCATCTAGAAAAACAAAAAGTTGGTGTCCAGATGCATCAAAGATTTAAATGTGGGGCGGGGGGGAAGAAAAAATATTTAGGTTAATTATTTTTAATATAACCCAGGAATGAAGGCCTTTCAAAGTATGATACGGAAGTGAAGCCAGATTGCTGAATTTTACAGCATAAAAATAAAATTCTGCATGGAGGAAAAATCATAAAGTTAAAAGAGAAACAGACTAGTAAAACATATTTGGACACTTTTCACAAAGGTCTGATTTCCTCTTAATGTACAAAGAGCTTCTACAAAATAATCCAATAGAAAAAATGAGCAAAGAGAATTCATATGAAAAGATGTGCAATTTTATTTATAATAAAGATGTAAATTAAAGCTACAATGTAGTATTTTTCACCCATCAAATTAGCAAAGATTGGTTCTGCAGTATAACTAGGGGAGGGTGATGGGGAGGAGAAGTGGACATTCTCATACATTGCTGGTGGGAATATGAAGTATTCATTCTCTGTAGAAAGCAATTTGAAAATTGTTCTCAAAATTAAAAATGCACATACATTTTGATCTAGCAGTTTCATTCTCGGATTTTATCCTTAGGAAATTTTGCCTGTGTGTCAAATGAATCTGTCATAAGAATATTTCTGGGAGCGTTATTTGTCGTCATTTTGATTGGGAACAAACTACGCATAAATCAGTAGGGGAATGATTAAGTAAATTACGATGTATCTATTCAATGGAATACTTTAAAATAGCCTTAATAAGTCAGCACTATGTGTACTGTTATGCTATGTCTAAGATAATTAAGAGAAAAGATAATTAAGAGAAAAAAGCAAGATGCAACACTTAAGTATCTATATGTAAATGTGTATGTACAGCTGTCTCTGGAAGGGTACATGATAATTTGGTAACAGTGGTTGCCTCCAGTGACGAGAACTGGTGGCCTAGAGGATAAGGGTGGGAAACTAACTTTTTTTAGTACACTGTTTGGTAATTTTTGGTTATATATATATTTTTTTACCACGTGCAGGTAACAGTTATTCAAAGTTAATGTTTTTAAGTTCTTTTCTGCTTGCAGGAATTGATAAGGAGGAATAAAAATAAAAGGGCATGATAGTCGTTGTAAACAGTTTTCAAATGATTTCTGCAATACTGTCTTTAACATTTTGTTAGAGGTCTTTGAATTCAGAGCTTCAGGTTAATGTTATGTGGCTCACTGCAGGGTGACTAGTGGAGTGGGGTCTGAAGGAAGGCTGTGGGGTTCCTGTAAGCAGAGAGCATGATGACTAACAACCAGCAGTTGCTGTTCCTTCTTGATATTTTAAGTGTATTAAAGGAAGGTGCTTTATCACTTGGAATCTACTTCAGCAGCTAGCCATAGAGCGTGCAGTGCCCCATATGGAGAAGGGATCCATGGAGCTGCTGCTGGAGTTCACAATCCTGGTGCCTGAGGAGCATGCCACCCAGCACAAAGTGTAGCCCACTGATGATGAGAGGACAGAGGAGCAGGGAGGGCACTTTAGACATGAAATCTTGTATTCACCTGTAATGGATCCTAGTAGCCATTGGCATCTGATGTGCCATTTTATGTTTTAAGGTGACTGCCTAATAGTGCATGTGTGTTCTGCGAAACAAAGCATTGTTATTTTTAAATACTGTTCTTGATGTAAAAAAGTTTATAGATTTGAAATTCATTCATATTTTTGACAAACTTCAGCATTACACATGTCAAAGAATATCTACCTTAATACATTTTAATTATTTTCTGTAATTATATGAAAAAAAAATGATGAATCTTTTCACTAACTGTAGATGCCTACAAATCTCCTTCCTATTGGCCAGTGTGTTGAACAAATATTATTTACAGTGTGAAAAAGGTTGGGAAGCACTGTTCTAGTTGGATCCTCTCGTTTTATATAGAGAAAACTGAAATCTAAATAGGCCAGTTTGGGGATTTTTCCAGTGTCCTTTAGTTGGTTGGTGTGGGGCTGAATCTAAAAACTGGGGATTTTGACTATCCATCCACTCACTGCCTCACATTGGCCCTTCAAACCTGAAGGAATATTAGAGGAAGGCATTGATGATAATTGAAAGAAAAAATGCAAACCTTGGGGGAATTACTGAAAGAACTACACGTACATAGTATAGAAATCTTTGAGGGCCTACTGTGTTCAATAAGGTTTAGAACCTTTCTATAGAACAGGTTATAGTGGGATTAATTTTGTGATGATTGTAGCTGTGTCCTTTGAGAAAAGAAGGATAAAAGTGAGACTGTAGCAAGAGGAATTTACGATAGATGAAAAACAAAAATTGGTACTAGAAGTTGATGTATACATTTTTCCAAAGAAAAAGGGACTCTATTAGGAGACCTTTGAAGTTCCTCTGGTGCTATAATTAAATTTTCTGTTATCTTGCTTTTGACTGGATTGGAACTTATTCATTTAAAAGCAATATGAGTGAAAAATGATAAGGATTTTAGTAGGTTTCAGAGAATGTTGTCATTAGCCCTAGATATTCAAAGAAAATACTTAGAAATGTATCAAGTAAGATACGGGCTATGTTACGAGATATGTCACCTTGGTACCTTGCTGCTGTTTTAATACCACAGTGATACTGAATAAGAGAGGAGATAATAGGAGTCAAGGTACAATTAACTTTGGGTAAAATTATGTTGTAGTTTCTAGGTGAGATACAGATAAAGCAGGCGTAGGTGATAGGCAATTAAAAGTAACTCCAATGTCCAAACATATCACACGGATGCATTTTTTGAGACCACAACTAATTATAAGTAATAAAAGTAAGCTACTCTTAATGACAATGTATTTAACCTTCTTTTTTTTCTTTGGTAATTTAAGTTTTCTGAATGATCTTCTGTGTTTCTTCCAGTGTTGTGTAGATTTTTTAATATTTCATTTTTTTAATGAAAAATATTTTGTTGTTTAGTATTGGCAGACTGGACTGTTTTCTGCAGCAGAAATTGAATATATGTCTAGCAAAGTAAATTCTGAGGAAAATGAGTAGTAATTGTCAATGGAAAATTTAGATCTATTTTTTTTTTTAAATGATAGTTTTGGGAAATAATAATTAGAGGTCAGTTTTCTTGGGGCAGTTATCTAAATTTCTTTGTGTTCAGAGAGCATTATTATGTAAACAATTCAAATAATAAAAGAAATTGTTACTTCAGAAATGCTTGTATAACAGTTTACAGGTTTCCTGTTTTCCTTCCATTATAATTACCAAGGAAGTGTAACAAGAATTAAAAGAAATCTCTTATTTTGCATATATATACATTTACACTTCAAATTAATTATATATTAAATTAGATTTTGTTTAAGATGGTAAAATGAAAGCCTTTATAAGTAAGAAAACATGTTGATGTGTAAGAGACTGTAAAGTTAAAACATGTTGGCATACTCCTAGTTTCTCAGAATAAGAAAATGACTAATCTAAATCTCATTTCAGAATAAAAACCAAGACAAGCCACATAAAAGCAACCTAAAAATTAAACTGTCATCATATTATTTGTTTTAAAACTATGGAATAATATATCTGAGGAAGATTTCTCTCAAAATTGTTTTTCTCAATTTCAAGTAAGTAATTCATTTTGGTTAATATATTGGGGGTAAGGTGGGTGGGGGTAAGCCTTGGCATTAAAGTTGGTAAATCCTACTCATTCTTAAAAGTAACAATTCAAATATCCACCTCTTTAAATTTATCTTTTTCTGATGCCTTCCCTTACCCTTGGAAAATTACCTCCTTAGTTTTCCATAGTCCCAGCCCCCTTCCACATTGCTGTAAAGGACACATTACACTGCGTCTTGTGTTTATCTGTAGGAATAGTCGCATGGATGTACCCTAATGTGCTCCCCTTCCACCCCCATAGTAGAAATGAATATGGGCTTCCTAGGATACAGACCTGATTCTGAGTCCTTCTGCTGGGAGACTCTGGAAAGGTTATTTTACTTCTATAAGCCTTAATTTCCTTGTTTGTAAAATTAATTCTAATAATTCCTACCTCACAGGGTTGTTGGGATTAAATAGAATGACCAACAAAAGTCTGGCATACATAGTAACATAAATGTTACTCTTTTACTATTCAGTCTCCAGAATCTGCCACATTACCTCATGTGTACTAAGCACTCTCTAAATGTTTGAATTGAATTGAAATAAAAATGGGATTTTTGTAGCATTTACTTTTTTCTCAATTAGGACAAACTAAAATATCTGCACATTGTGGTATGTGGAGCCCTGGTGGCGCAGTGGTTAAGAACTTGGCTGCTAACCAAAAGGTCGGCAGTTCAAATCTGCCAGCTACTCCTTGGAAATCCTGTGAGGCAGTTCTCCTCTGTCCTGTAGAGTCACTGTGAGTTGGAATTGACTTGACGGCATTGGGTTTGGTTTTGATTTGTGGTATATAGCTTTTTACAGTTGGTCACTGACTCATGTCTACAGGCTAGGTAATTACCTTTTAAAAACACTTTTTAAAAATTGACTATTTTTTGTAAGTACCCTATGTAGGCCTTACCGTTTTTAAACCATTGAAATTATTTCTATATATATATTTAGAGAGAGAGAGAACAAACTGTTGAAATACACACACACACTTACACTCACACTCACACATACATATACACATACACCAGTTACGGTCCAGTTGATTCAGAGTCATGGCGACCCCATTTGTGTCATAGTAGAACTACGCTCTGTAGGGTTTTCAGTGGCTGATTTTTTCTAAACAGATGACCACGCCTTTCTTCTGAGGTGCTTCTGGGTGGATTCCAGCAGCCAGCCTTTCAGTTAGCAGCCAAGCGGTGTGTGTGTATGTGTGTATGTGTATGTATATATTATGTGAATGACAGAAAGGTATGCAGGTCTGTCTTGAAAAAGGGCAATGATAAGTCATTGATCAAGGAATAACTACAGTTTTCAATGCTGTGGATTAGGTTACAGGTTTTTCTTGTGAAAAGAGCCTTATTTTCCAAAGCTATCAAAAGTGCCTTCTTTTTTGTTTAAATGGTGGGAGAATGTGTTGAAAGTATGTGTGCCAGAGGTCACATCAAAGGTAATATGTCAATAGGATCTATTGTACTCTTGTTTTTGCCTTTTGCAAATTTGTAGTACACAAAAAAATTGAAGCCTTTAATATTTAAACCTATTTAGGATTGTAGAATGTGGACCACATAAATCCATTATTGCCCAGAGCTTTCACACTCTTCATCGTATATTTTCTACATTTATTCCCAGGGTGTTTTGTTTTTGTTTTTTGTATTAAATAACATTGTCTTTTAATTTTTTTCAGGAAGTCATTAGATTTTCAAATTAATTTGGATGTAACACACCTTGGTTGAATGATGCTTACTGAATTTAAAATACAAGCCATGTTAATCAGAAGATCTTAATTTTACATCATTGTACCAACAGAGGTGGCAGACCATATATTGAGCCCTTACTTTAATGCCCTGTTCTAAATGATTTATATGTATTAACTTATTTAATCTTCACAATACCTCTATAAGATAGATACTGTTATCCGCATTTTACAGTTGAGAAACTGAGGAATGGAGAGGTTAATTAGCTTTTGACGAAAGTTATGTAGCATAGCTCACTGAGCTGATAACATGTAAGGATTAAATGAGAGAACATGCATTAGACCATTACCTACCTAAATAGAAGAAGCAGAGAAGCAAAATCTGAGATTTATGTCTCCCAACACTTCAAGAATTTGATAATAGCCATTATTGAGAAGTAACAGTGACCATGAATGTAATACTCTCATATACGCTGTTACTGTGTACTGATGTTTTTTTTTCTGAGAAATTTTCATGTTATCTCTCAAATTCATATTCCCATTTGAACTGAATTGTTTTATGTATATGTGTTTATCAGGCGATAGTAGGACTTTAATATCAACCTGATGTAAAATATTTTTATCAGTTTATTTTAATTAAACAAGTAGCATACGAGTATATTCTCATTGTGCAATTTAAAAAACAACAGGTAAGGCGAAAATTTTCCTTGACCACCAATCCTATTTTCCTCTCTACTTGTATCAGCTTTTGCTGCATAACAAACCTCCCTAAAACCTCCCTTAAACTTAAAAATAATATCCATTTATTAGCCCATACTTCTGGCCTGGGCTCGGTTAAGCAAATCTGCTACTTCTTCTGGCAGGGCTTGTTAATGTGGCTGTACTCAGTGAGTGTATCAGCTGGGAGCTGATTGGTCTAGGATGGCTTTACTCACACATCTGGAAATTGGTGCTGGCTGTTGGTTGTGGTGATGGAGGGCTATGTGTCTCCAGGAGGCTGGCCGTGGCTTATTTACTTGTAGACAGTAGTAAGGTTTAAAGGAGCAACAAGTGAAGGCAAGCCCCACATATTTGCTGTTTTCTCAGGCCCAAAGCGAGTCACATGGTCAAGCCCAGAAGCAGTGTGGGAGGGGTGTGTGACTCATTGGGTGCCCGTTACGGCAACAATCTTACCGTACTACTGTTGCTGACTGACTCATTTTTCAGGAAACATTTGCCAGTGTGACAACTGACGTTGCCCCTCTCTTGAAAAAGTGAAGTGTTTGTCAGCAATTTATTCAACAGTTCAGATAATTTTAATTAATTCTTTGTTTTTTCTTCATTCTCATTATACCTCAGCATCATTCTTGGTTCCATTCACTCAACAAATACTTACTGAGCACCCACGAAGTACATATAAGGTGTTATGAGGTGAGCAGCAGATGGAACAAGACCACTGTGTTCATCATCCAAGTTTCTAAAACTTGCCTACCTGTCTTTTTGATTATGTGAACAGAATTCTATAAAAGCATAAAATTATAACATTTTAAAAAATGTCCTACTGTTCATGCCAGGTTGAATATATCTTTTATGCTATATGTTTTTTAATGTCTTACGAGGATTTCTTCAGACAAGAAAAACTAATGTAAAGATTGTTTTGATCTGTACTAGCAATATATGAGACTTTTTCCATGTCCTCATCAGGATTATGTTCTCAATTTGATGTTTGCTAGCGAAAAACATGGATTTCAGTGTATTTTTAATTTGCATTTTTTTTTATGAGTGAGATTGTCTTTCCACACACTTGAGAGCCATTTGTATTTCCTTTTAAATGTACTGTTTGTTTATATCTTCTGCCTATTTTCTGTTGCAAGTCTTCGTCTTTCGCTTATTGAGTCCAAGGAGCTCTTCATATATTAGGAAATTTGGTCTCTGAATTGAGTTGCGAAGATTTTCCCAGTTTATTTTTATGGTAAATGCTTTTTTATTTAAATTTTTTTTTCATTTTATAAAAACCTTTCACATGTTAAATGAGGTTTTTAAATCACATTTAGTTAAAGTTAGGTTTAAATATTAGAAGTTGGAATAGAAGGAAAAGATTCTGACTTTATCACATCTTATATAGAGGACTTGTCTTTAAACGCTCTATGGCTTAATGAATGGTTTCAAAAGAATTCAATCTTTGATTTTTTTTTTTCTCTCTTCTAGCTTTGGTTTAATGGTAAAACCACTACCTTTGAAGCTAAGTAGTAGGATCATCCTTTGGAGGGCTATTTTTAGATGATCAGACTATATAGAACAGTTGGAAAATAGTCAAAATACTTCGTATCACTTAGAAAAAATTGTTAATGTTGCTTTGAGTTTTGTCTCACTTTAGCTTGTGTGCATGTGTGTATGTGTGTGTTTGTGTGTATGTGTAATGTGTACTATACATACATCTATAGTGGTAGTGGTTCAAGCAGTGCTTTACTCAATATACAATCCTTTACTTATTTAGCCACCTTTACCTAATCAAGCAGTTACTAGTTGGCGCAAATGGTTAAGCACTCGATTACTAACCAAAAGGTTGGCAGTTCAAATGCACGCGGAGACACCTGGAAAGAAAGGCCTGGCAATCTGCTTCTGAAAGGTCAAAAGCCCTATGGAGCTTAGTTCTACTCTGTAACACATGGAGTTGCCATGAGTCACAAATAACTCGATGGCAGCTGATTTGGTTTTTCTTTTGGTTTCACCTAATCAACCATGTAGGTAGATTATGGTGGCTAGATTAGGCTAGCCTTTACCCAGTTAGCCACATAGAAGAAGACGAAGAAACAGAATGTGGCCTTTTTTTGAAAAAGTAGTAATGCTACTTACTACCCAAATAGTATCCTAGATTTCTGATAAGACTTTGGGAAGCTAGGAAAGGGTGTCAGAGTCATCTGTGACCTCCTATGAAGCATCTGACATTATGAAATACCATGATTTCTTTCCTTGATTTCTGTGATATCAGTCTCTGGTAAAAAGAGGCTTAGAAAACTGTAAGGCTAGACAGATTTGCATGTTGTTTAATATAGTTTTCAAAAATTTAGAAGTTCCCAAACCTTTTTTTCATATGTAAGTTTACCCAGCAGCATTTAAAATATAGGAATCCTTAAGTGATTTTATTGTGGGGTATGGTTGAAAACCTGTTTTTGCCATGCTGTACGTAATTTTTAATTTTTTCAGTGTTATCGAGGTATTCTTTAGTGTCTGTTAAACCATCAGTATTTTTATAAATGTTTCACTGACAATTAAAAGAAGTTTTCCATTTATTTGATACCAGATTGTCAACATAATATATTTCCTTGATTAATCCTTTATTTTAAAGTATTTAACATTTTTGAGATTGTGATACATGTCACAATCAATGTGTATATTTAATACAGTAGTTTTTCCTCCTCAAATAGCTAATGATTGATGGGACATATAATCGACTACTCCTTAAAGTAAAGAAAATGTGACATTAATTTGTTTTCATCCTGTAAATACTTACTTTTTTTTAATCTGCCATGGAATGAGTTTGTTACTTACTTCTGGTTTGTTCTTCATTTCTGCCTTGTATCTCTAATTTTTTTCACTTTTGTATAGTTTTTTTTTTTTTGCATTTTTTTAATTTTTAATTTTTCCCATACAAAAATTCATACATACATTATTATGTGGCTCTAATTGCTCTCCCCATGCTGTGACAGCACACTCCTCCTTTCCACCCCTGATCACTTTTGTATATTTTGATGTATTATTTGGCACATAAAGCTTCGTGACTGATACGTCTTTTAGAGCAGTGCTTTTCAAACTATCTGTGGTGAAGAATTGTTTTTTTTTCTGAGACATCTTTAAAATATATTAAAAATGAAATAGAAAAATGAAATGAGAAAGAAAAACAGACAAGCAAAATATAAGCTCCAATTTGTTTATTGTTATATTTAACAAGTATAAAATTGCCGTGTCAGATTGCTGTAAGAGTTATTAAATGCTTAGTCTCAAGTTTTATACTTGTTCACTGCAGACATGTAACAAACAGACTGCATTTTGAGGAGCACTGCCAATTATATCTTTTTATCAGTCTAAGGAGACCCTTTAATTCTTTCTTTCTTGAATCTTACTTCTTGTCCCATGTCAAATTACTATTCCTTTTAGCCTGAATATTTCCATGATATATCGTTGCCTGTCACTATTTTTAATCCTTTTTTGGCACTCCAGTTTTTAACCTCATCTGAGAATCTTTTCAGCAGTCAATAACCAAAAAACCAAACCTGTTGCCATGAAGTCAATTCCTACTCACAGCGACCCTATAGGACAGAGTAGAACTGCTCCATAGAGTTTTACCAAGGAGCAGCTGGTGGATTCAAACTGCAGACCTTTTGGTTAGCAGCCGTAGCTCTTAATCATTGTGATACAGGCATCTTCAATAGTTAGTAGGGAAACTTTAAACTATAAAAGTTTGTTATAATTGTTACGTTTGATTTTTACTTCTATAATTTCATGTTGTTTAATAATTTTATTTTACTTTTTCCTTTGATTTTTGGCTGTCGCAGCAGAGACTTTTATCTTTTTAAAAAATATAGATACAGAAATCATTTTAAAAGCATATACACAGAAATGTAGTTGTCATAAAATTCAAGAGGAAAAAATTTTTTCTTTTTTTATAATACCAAGAATTGAGCTTATTTTTTTTTTTTTTCAGTTCTACCAGCTTCCCAAGCTGATCTGTAAGACTAGATTACAAATGGTGTTTTACATACTTGCTTTAAAAAAAAATTGTACCTATGTATTAAATTTCAACCAAACAATTCGGACTCAACTTTACATATTAATTTGGTATGGGGCACCAGCACTAGCGGTATTTATACCTTACAATTTATACCCATTTGTGAGTTCCAACTTTTATTTATTTTTTGGTTGGCTGAAATACTGTTTCAGGTACTATTTTTCAGGAAATATATATGTGGGTTACTTTTCTGAACACTCAAATATCTGAAAATGACTTTCTATTGCATGTACATGTTAATGACAGCATGACTTAGTATGGTATTGTTGGGTTCCAGGCTTTTTTCTTTAAAATACTCTAAACATTATTCTGGTATCTTTTAATTTTTACTGGGACAAGGAGAGTCCTTTTGATGTGCAGATGCAGGTGCTTTTCATTTGGGGATAGTTTTTTTTATTATACCTTTGATTATTACTTCCATTCCATTTGTTGTGGTTTTTTAAAAAAAGATATCTGTTATTTGTGGACTGGATCACATTTCTTTTCCATAGCTTATTATTAATTTTATTCTATACCATTGATTATAAGACACATTTCAATTATTGAGATACAAAAATAGGAGGGGGGCTCTGCTTCTTATAATTGATGAAATACAGAATAACCTTTTCCCAGTTTGTCACTAGAGTACTTAAGATATACAACCCTATTCTGTACCTTGGAGAAATAGTCTGGTCCAAGAGGAACCAGCTCCCTACTAAAAAATTTGTCCTTTCACATTCTTGGCAAACATTTTATTTTCATCTTCTTCATTACTGATTTCCTTTTCCATAATATCGATTCTGTTCTTTTTTTTCCTCCGACGTGAATTTTAATTTGATTGTTGTTTTTTGTGTTCCTTTTTTTTTCTTAATTCTTGGAGTTCCACATATGTCTTAGTTAAAGAGCCTGGGTGGCACAAGTGGTTTGCAGTCAGCTGCTAACCTAAAGGTTGGTGGTTCAAACCCATCCAGAGGCTCTGTGGAAGAAAGGGCTGGTGAACTGCCTCCGTAAAGATTACAGCCAAGAAAATCATGTGGAGCACTTCTGCTGTGTAACTCATGGGGTTGCCATGAGCCGGAGGCTGACTCAACAGCAGCTGGCAATAACAACTACATATAAGTCCTTCCTGGTCTTTTCAACTAGTCATCTTTCTTTATGAAAGAAGTTTCACAGAAGGCTTATTTTCTTGGATCTTATTGAGAACCCATAATAGGTACTTTCTACATTTCTTCTGTTTCCTAATATGAATTATCACAGATTCTTTTCTTTGGCATTTCTGAGAAGATGTTTTATCTCTACTGCTGAATGTTTATATAGGCGTGTTCTATCAATCTGTGAAAAAGAAGCTATTTATCCAGGCCTAGGACCCCTGGTGGTGCAGTGGTTAAGAGCTCGCCTGCCAACCAAAAGGTCAGCAGTTTGAATCCACCAGCTGCTCCTTGGGAACCCTATGGGGCAGTTCTATTCTGTCCTATAGGGTTGCTATGAGTTGGAATTGACTGGACAGCCACGGGTTTTAGTGTTTGCTAAGGAATCAATCCCTGGGTGGCACAAATGGTTAAGCGCTCGGCTACCAACAGATTGGAGATTGAAGTTCACCCGGAGGTGCCTCTGAAGAAAGGTCTGGTGATCTACTTCCAAAAGTTCACAGCCATTGAAAACC